CTCCTCCTCCTCCCTCCTCCTCCTCCTCTCCCCTCCTCCTCCTCCTCCTCCTCCTCCTCCTCCTCCTCCTCCTCCATCTCGGGGCGCGCCGCTGAGGCAAGCCCGAGCCGGACCCGTACCTGGAGGCGATGTCGCGGGCTGGGCTGTCGCCTGCCGAGTGCGTCGCGTTCGAGGACTCTCCACGCCCCACCTGGCCGTGGCCATCGATCCCCAGCCCCATCCCCATCGATCGATCCTCCTCCCCATCCCCGCTGGCAGTCGATCGGATCGGATCGATGCCCATCCTTATTCGAATCGATGCCCAACCCCAGACATGCGACTTCCTGATTTGTTCAATACGCGGTCCCTGGAAATCCCGACCCTTTCCCTGGGACCGGTTTTTTTGTATCTTGAGTCGTTTCTTGACGGTCCCGGGCCCCGGCGAGGGCCTCCAGAGGCCGGAAACGGCGAAATACATCCGTCCTGAATTTTTCGCGACACGATCATGTCGTTTCGGCCCCCATCCCCCCAGCAGCGCCGAATCGATCCCCGTCCCCACCTGGCAACGGCACGCGTTTCAGCCCCACCCAGGCCACCGACACCCGGCGGGGACAGACCCCGCGAGGCCGCAGGGAGCAGCACAGATCCCCACCCCTGGGGGCCTGGGGGGGGGGGATGAGGAGGAGGAGGAGGAGGAGGAGGAGGAGGAGGAGGAGGAGGAGGAGGAGGAGGACGAGGAACGAGGACGAGGACGAGGACGAGGACGAGGACGAGGACGAGGACGAGGCGAAGGACGAGGACGAAGGGAGAGGAGGGGATGAGGAGGAGGAGGATGAGGAGAGAGGATGAGGAGGAGGAGGAGGCGAGGAGGCGGAGGAGGCGGAGGAGGCGGAGGAGGCGGGAGGAGGAGGAGAGAGGAGGAGGAGGAGGAGGCGGAGGAGGAGGAGGGTGAGGAGGAGGAGGAGGGGGAGAGGAGAGGGGAGGAGGGGGAGGAGGGGGAGGAGGGAGGAGGGGGAGGAGGGGGAGGAGGGGGAGGAGGAGGAGGAGGAGGAGAGGAGGAGGGGAGGAGGAGGAGAGAGGAGGAGGAGAGGAGGAGGAGGAGGGGGGAGGGGGAGGGGGAGGGGGGGGCGATGGGGGGGAGGGGGCCAAAGCCATGCCAGTGGTGACAGGGATTGGTTTCATGCTGCTCAAGGTCGGGCGGGGCGGCGGCCAAGGATTAGTCGTTCCAGAGCGTCCCGGATCGCTTTCAGAGCGCTCCGGAGCGCTCTCCGAAGGCCGCGGCGCCCGATGCATGTCCGGAACCGTCGGATACAGTGGAGGCCCATGCCAAGAAACACCCTGGTTGCCTCCAGGTTTCCCTGGGCTTCCTGGGTTTCGAGGGTTTTGCTACGGACAGCGTGGCGTTCCCTCGCCAGAAATCGATGGACGGCCTGGGGTCTCAGGGTTGGGTTTCTTGTGGAAGGCTTCTCGTGAACTGGCCTCCACCTGTATATCCTGGAGCTCTCCGAGCTATCCCTGTTCGCTGTTGCCCCTGTTCTGGCCCCGCCTCCTTCTACAAGGATAAAGGCGGGCGTGTCCCTCTACATGAGGAAAACTCAAAAATTACAAAAAGATCTGGGGACGATTTGTCTTACTATTTTTGAATACTGTTTCATACCTTTTTGGAGTACTGTTCATGTGTCGTCCAAAGTCCCCCTCTAGGGGGACACGCCCGACCTCATACCCAGACCCCCGACGTCGCGATTGATTCACAACGTCGACCCCCGGAGGTCTGGACCCCTTCCCCGGGACCAGTTTTGCACCCCGAGCCGTTTTTTGACGGCCCTTTTTGCTGTGACAAAGACCAGCCGCACGCGTACCAGCCTGCATAAAATCTCGCTGGCCAACGATGGAGACGCTACTCGACCCAACTCCTCGATGTGCGGGAAGGGTCGTCGTCGTCATCCGAGTCGCTGGCATCAGGGAAGCCAAACAGGATAGCGAAAAACCTCCCGCCGTGATTTTTTTGGTCGCAGCCCGAGGGGGTCCGGGCACGAGGACTCCCCCTCCGGCGCCCGCGCGGCCGTGGCCGCGGGGGTCTACACCGTCGGCATCCTGAGCGGCCAGCGGGCCGAGCGGCTGTCAGGAGGGGAAAAAGCACACAGACACAATTAGTCGTCGATCCCCCGGAACATATGCGAAAATATGGGAAGTGGGCGGGAAGACAAAAACCCAGAAAATATGGGCAAAATATGGGGAAAATGTTTATTTGTGTGTATTTGTGTGTGTGTGTGTGTGTGTGTGTGTGTGTGTGTGTGTGTGTGTGTGTGTGTGTGTGTGTGTGTGTGTGTGTGTGTGTGTCCTGGGGCCCCTTTAGGCTGCGGGAGGCGGGCTGCGGCATGCTGGTCGAGTCCTTCGACGACGAGCGCCTCTGGCGCGCGCTGCGGGCGGCGGTCGAAGGCTGAGCCGCAGAGCGCCGGGCCGCCAGGGCTTCTGGGCGCCCTCGGGTTCTCTTGCCCTCCCTGGAAGAAGAATATCCCACACAAACAAAGGAGGGAGGAGGGAGGAGGAGGAGAAGGAGGAGGAAGAGGAATAATGATGATAATAATAATAATAACAATAATGATAATACTACTACTAATAATAATGATGATATTCGTACTAATAATAATAATGATAATCATAATAATAATAATAATAATACTAGTAATAATGATAATATTAATAATAATAATATAATAATAATAATACAATAATAATAATAATGATAATAAGAAGAAGAAGCAGAAGAAGCAGCATAAGGAGAAGCACACAAGTACACAAACGGATAAACTTGTGGCGCTCCGCGCGGGTTTCTTGGATCCGCGCCAGGGGCCCCCCGGCGGCGCCTCGGGCGCGGGTCCAAGAGATCCGCGCGGAGCGCCAAGAGTTTATGTGTTTGCGTGGTTTCTTCTTCTTCTTCTTCTGCTTCCGTGCCTCTCCGAGGATCGGGGGCCCCAAAACGGTGCGGCGACCACACCGCATGGTGGGTCAGTGGGGATGCGGCGTCACCGCTCGGTCTTGGGGCTCGGGTCGTTCTCCGGGGACGTCTCGGGCGACGGGCCTCCAGGGTCCCGAGGCCGTGCGGTGACGGACCGCGCGGCGAGGTCGCTGGGGGCTCCGCGGTCACCAGGCGGTCCGTCACCACACGGTTTTTTGGGGCCCCGGAAGAAGAAGAAGAAGACACATAAAAAGAAGAAGAAGAAGAAGAAGAAGAAGACGGCGAGTTGAGACAACGGCAGGTGGCCCTCGGGGGCCTCTCCGTCGCCACGGCTGGACGCAGCTCGGAAGTTTTGGTGCGTGTGGATCCCAGGAGGGGTCTGGAGATCGATTGGAGAGGCCTGACGGCCGGTGCCGCCGACCCTGATCGAGAGGGCTAGGAGTGGGGGGAGGAAGCGGAGGAGGAGGAGGAGGAGGAGGAGGAGGAGGAGGAGGAGGAGGAGGAGGGAGGAGGAGGGCGGAGGAGAGGAGGAGGAGGAGGAGGAGGAGCGGAGGAGGGAGGAGGAGGAGGAGGAGGAGGAGGAGGAGGAGGAGGAGGAGGAGGAGGAGGGGTCTGGAGATCGATTTTCTGGTTGCCGTTGTCTCAGCTCGCCCTGCTCCGAGCTTCTGCGGGAGGGGGCGGGCAGCAGGTGCCAGGCTGCGGCGGGGCTCGCAGCAGCTGAGAGCGCATGCCAGGTCCTGCGGCTTGCGACCGGCGGAGGAGGAGGAGACGGAGGAGCAGGAGAAGGAGCAGGAGCAGGAGCAGGAGCAGGAGCAGGAGAGAGAGAGAGAGAGACATATATGAAGAGAGAAAGCGAGAGAGAGAGAGAGAGAAACAGCAAAGATAGCGAGTTGGGGGGAGGCCAAGGACTACGAGTGGAGGGTCAAGCGAAATGGGGACGCACGCGCACACGGCAGAGGGGGAGGAGGGCGGAGGGAGAGAAGGGGGGCCGAGATGGAGGGGGAGAATGGGGGAGACATGAGAGGGGATCAGATCGGAGAGAACGGGGGCCTCCTCCTCCTCTGGCCCCCTTACTGGGCGGATTCGTTCGTGGCCCGCGATCGTTTCTTCATAGCTCGCTCCCCACCCCACGTGCTCCCGTGCGCGCGCACGAGGAGGAGGGAGGGAGAAGGGGGACGGAGAGGGGAACGGGAAGGGGGACAGCGGGGAAGAAGGAGAGGGGGAGGACACGAAGGGAAGCGAAGGAATGCCCCAGAGGGGATGCGCGCAGCACCAGGCGAACCAGCCTGGCCCGCGGTCGCGCGATGAACGGAATCGGAAACGGCAGGCCCGATCGAGACGCTTCTCTGGAGGCGCGGGTCCGCTGATCGAACAGACCAGGGGGCCTGGCATCGTCCTTCGGCCGGACTGGCTCGGTCCAGGCTGCTGCTTGTCGGGGAGATGAATGAGGAGGGTCTGAGGGGCAGAATAGGGCGGGGGAGGTGAAGGAGGGGGAGGAGGGGGAGGAAAGGAAGGGGATGAAGGAGTAGGAGGAGGAGAAGAAAAATGATGATGATGATGATGATGATGATGATGATGATGATGATGATGATGATGATGATGATGATGATGATGATGCTGCTGCTGCTGCTGCTGCTGCTGCTGCTGATGATGATGATGATGATGATGAGGAGGAGGAGGAGGAGGAGGAGGAAAAGCAGGAAGAGGAATAGTGGAGAAGGATTGGGAGGAGGATGAGGAGGCGGAGGAGGCGGGGGAGGGGAGAAAGGAGGTGGAGCGGGAGGAGGAGAGAGGAGGTTGAGGAGAAGGGAGGAGGAGGAGGAAAGAGGAGGAGGGGAAGGAGGAGGGACCAGTGTATGCCCACCACGCACCAACGATGTTGTAGTAAACCATCCCTCCAAGTGCCCTTTTCACAGGTCCCGACAAGAATTCATTTCCATTGCGGGAAGTGCCCCATTGAAAGACAGCCGTCTGCGAATCGGCAATCGTGCCCAAACACAACTGTTGGAATTTATGTTGCGTCCTGATAATCAGGGAGTCTTTCCTGGGATTTCAGCACCGCACATCAGCGTGACTGTTGCGTCTTGGCAATCCTAAACCTTGCCACAACACCGTTCCTGCCACTTCCACCTTACGAATCTTTGAAACCGCTCCGAACTCTTAAGACGAATGCTCGCGGCGCCTGGCGAGAGCCACATATTGGAAAGAACTCGCCCTCCATCCTTGAAGTTGATGCGAACTGTTAACTTCAATGTGCGCGCCGCTCAGGCGAAAGGTACACAGTGAAAACGTCCCGCCCTTTGAAACTGTTGTAAACTTGTAAGACGAATGGGCGCGGCGCTAAGGAGAGACCGCATGTTGAAAAACGCCCGCCCTCCATCCTGGAAGCTGCTGCAAACCTCCAGCTTCAATGTGCGCGCCGCTCAGGCGAAAGGTACACAGTGAAAACGTCCCGCCCTTTGAAACTGTTGTAAACTTGTAAGACGAATGGGCGCGGCGCTAAGGAGTGACCGCATGTTGAAAAACGCCCGCCCTCCATCCTGGAAGCTGCTGCAAACCTCCAGCTTCAGTATCAGAAATGGTGGGGAAGTCTCGGGCGAAACGCCGGGCCCGCCCGAACCGACACGCCTGGGGGATGGCGGAGGGAGGCCTAGGAAGGAGGAGAGGAGGAGGAGGAGTGAGGAGGAGGAGGAGGGAGGAGGGGGAAGTGAGGAGGTGGAGGAGAGGAGGAGGAGGAGGCGGAGGGAGGAGGAAGGAGGGGAGGAGGAGAGGAAGAGGAGGAGGGGGTGGAGGGAGGAGGAGGAGGAGGAGGAGGAGGAGGAGGAGGTGGAGGGAGGGAGGACAGGCCGGTGCTGGGCGCGGGGCCCGAGGCGCCCGAGGCGGCCCGGCGGGCTCTGCAGTGAGGGGCGGGGGGGGGGGCGCCCTGCAAGGCGCTGCCGCCCGCGCTGCTGCTGCGGCTGATGGTGGCGGCCACCAAGTCCACGGCAGGAGCCCATGGGCCTTCTTTATACTTTGGGCGAGAGCCAGACCCCCTCGCGTTGTGAAAGATTCGCGACGGGAGGTTTTTCTCTGTCTTCGGCCTTTTGGGGAGCTGCCGGGACATCGGACGTCCAAAACGTGTCAGGAGGAACAACGGTTCCAGGGAATGGGTTCGAGGTCCTCTGGGGGTCGACGTATGAAGAAATTCATGACGTCGGGGGTTGGGACTGAGGGGGGAGGGGGCCGCGCGCGCACGCGCTGGGCACAGGGTATGGGGAGAGATGGGGGGATAGGGGGGGGGGAGGGTCAGGAAGGGGGAGGAGGAGGGGGGAGAGGAGAGGGGGAGGAAGAGGGGAGGGGGGGTGGGGGGGGGAGAGGGGAAGGGGGAGGGAGCTCGGTGGGAGGGTGAAGTGGAGGGAGAGGGGAGGGGGGGGAGGGGAAGATGGAGTCAAGTCAGCCAGGTCGAGCGAAGCGGAGGGCCACGCCTACCCCCACCTCCCCTCCCTCGGCATAGGAATCAGGTGTGGCATGACTTGACATTGAGATATGGCACACCTGGCAAGCGGCAGGCGCTCGCACGCGGCCCTGCTTCCAAGGGGGCGCGGCGAAGGCGAAGCATGCTGCCACTGTCCCTCACGCCCCGCGCGGCGCCTGGGCGAGGTCGGCCTTTCGCGCGCTCTCGCGCGGCCCCCGTGCAGCACAGTCGCCGTCGTGCGCCTCGGAGAACACAGAGCGTGCCCCGCGCCCGTGCGGGAGCGCCACGTCCGAGCGACATGACGTGCGCACAGTGCTGGGGCGACGAGGGCGGCGGGTCGCCCTGGTCGCGCGCCGCCCCCCCAAACATGGAGACTGGGAAAATAAGCGCCGCTCCGGAGCGGGAGCGCCAGCTTCAGGCAACATCTGCGCGGCACCGAGGCGAGGGCGACACTTTCGTCCGCTCCCGCGTCGGCGAAGCTGCGTGCGACGCATGTGCGCCGCGGCCCAACAGGATCTCGACTCTTGGGAAAATGGGCGCGGCTCCGAAGCGACACCTGCATTTCGGCCTTCCGCGCGGGATGTGCGACCCGTCCGATTCCTGCCGCGCATTTTGCAACACGGGCGACATACGTCTACGCTGAAAGCGAGGATGTTGATTTTGCATTGTCTTTAACGAGTAGAATGAGAGGCCCTGGATTCGGTGGCCATCGGCAGACGTTGTGGCAGAACAGGAATATATATACATATATATATACATACATACATATATATACATATATATATATATACACACGAATATGGGGGGGATCATGCGAGGTTAGGGCAGAGGTGGGAGGAGCGAGGAGGAGGAGGAGGAGGAGGAGGCGGAGGGAGGAGGAGGAGGAGGAGGAGGAGGAGGAGGAGGAGGAGGGGGAGGGGAGGAGGAGGTGGAGGAGGAGGAGTGGAGGAGGAGGAGGAGAGGGAGAAGGAGGAGGAGGCGCGGAGGAGAGGGAGGAGCAGTGGGCTGCAGGGGCAGGGAGGGCTGGAGGAGTCGTCATGTGGGGGCGCACAGGCGGGCGAGGAGGAGGACGAGGCGTCGGAGCAGGGGGAGGAGGAGGGCGATGGCA